GAATCGTTTTTCACCGGCGGTTTCAGTCGATACGAAAATAACGGTAATTATACGACGTGGTGGATCGAGCATTTCAGTTCCGCTAGTGCGAAATCTTCTCTCGGAACTAATTACGGAGTAATTATAATGCCAGACTCGCGCTCTGTATATGTATATATATGTCGTAGTGCGGATATTTCTCCCCCTCTCTCTCTCTCTTTACATTGTAACAGCAGTACTAAATATTCTACAAGCGAAATAACGCTCGATTTATTTGCGAATAAACGCCGCTACGAAAATACGATAATATCCTCGATGTAAATTATCATTGACCTTAGGGAAAATGTATTTTAGATTAGGACCACTGCAAATTTCATTTTAGAAATTTATCGACATGTGACTAAAGAGAGATGTTTAGGAAAGTTGTTTCAAAATTACAAGACATTTTCTTTTTTGTATACGTTACTAATTCCTAGATAAATTTAAAGAATAAACTTTTGAAGTGAAGATTCGATAGAAAGTCATTTGTAGCAACTTTCCAACTTTCATTAAATATCCTGGTAATTAAGTCTTGAATTAAATTTTCTCTACAGCAAAGTAACAAACAAACTTTATTGGTCAACTTAATTTAGAAAAAGATTTTATTAAAAATTTAGCATCTACACTTTTACTTTTAAAACTACGTTTATCGAGATAATTCTTTTTACATTAAACGATTTCCTTATTTAAATGTATGTTTTAAATGTATTAGATATAAGTTTTGATATTTTTGCCCATATTGGATGCTATATCAATTATTTTTTTCTTACATTATATATAGCATGCGAAATTACGTGCTGTTGAACACGCAAGTCGAGCACGCATCAACATATTTTATCGACAAAAAAATCTCGATGCAATAAATTTCGAATCAGCGATCGACTCTTGACGCCGATAATCTTTCCAAGGATGACTATACGGTTTCTATCAATTTCCTGCGTTTACTTATCCTCTTGGATTCGCGACCGGAAGCCGCGTAAACGGAAGAGACAGGAATAATTGCTAGTGTGTCGATGGCACAAGCTATCTAAAACCGATCAACTAATGGCTGATTTTAGAATAAATCTATCGATTAAATCGAATGTACTGTTAGAGTAATCAGTTGATTATAAATAAATGGTAAAATGTTTCTATCTGAAATAAACAAAAACATCTGCTATTAAAGCATTTGTAATTATCTCTCTTTAATTTCGATGAATATCGATTATAGATGGAAAGTAGCAAAACATAAAAAAACATCTTGAGTTCGTTATTGCAGATCTAGAGATTGGAAAATAACTCTAAAGTTTTTAAGAGATACATTTTATTCATGTACATTTTATATATGTTGCAACAAATAATTATTAAAATTTTTGTGTATTTATATGTGTGCATATGTAAAAAAATATTTTATATAAAATTATCTTTTAATATTGATAGGAGTTTAAAATTATTCATACAAATTTCTTAAAAGAATTAAATTTAATTAAAATTTAAAATGTATCATAAATTTGTTTCTTTATCAGATCCAAATAGCAGTCAATACGATTAGACAATCGCTTTGTATATCTTTGAATGTTACAATAAATAATAATATTAATATATATAATATTATATATATTTATATAATATTTTACATAATATATTACATATATATATATATATATATATATATATATAATATATATAATAATATTAATATTAAATAATAATATTAACAATATTATCATTTTACAACTAATACAAAATAGTTCGATAGGTAGAAATCGTGTAACATGTATCGTAGAATGGACGCAGTTTTCACTAAAAGCTTCTCTTTGTTAAAATCTACTTATTCTGAAAGAAGTAACATAGTTCTTTTCCTAATATTTTTTCTACGAAATGCTATTTTTTTTGTATGGAAATGTGTTAAAGAATTTTTTTTTATCTTGGATACCATCGTGCCAGTTTGCATCTATATTTTCATCAAAACAGAACAATTTTTTTTGTTTTACATGTCTTTACGTGTCTTTTTTTCCTGAACGTTATTATAAACGCACGCGTTATAAAGGCGTCACGCACTGGTAAAATGCAATTACCAGTGCAACGGTGATTTCGCGTGCATGGTAGAGAACAAATTTTTTTACACACTGGCTTGCATGCGAGATAAACGATGTGCAACTGAGGACCACATATATGAGGCTAAATTAATCGTACGTTTCTTTCGTCGCCTTTCACTTGAAACTTTTTTTACCCTATAAAAGTCCCCGAAAGGGCAACTCTCTCGTATTCCAAGAGACGTAAATTTTACGCCTTCTTTTAAGTTCTTACAAAACTTTTTGTAGAAGCTAACATCTTTATTATAACTAATTTTCGACTTCTTTCCATTTTTCTCAGTTGCACCATAAAACGACGATTCCATCGGTTAACCCAATAGCAGTGGCAACATTATCTAAAATGGGTTATATATATATATATACATGGAACTGTTACGAATAATCCAAAGAAAATACACTTGTGCGAACAAGATGATAAGATAAAGGACGCGGACTTTACAAAGGTAAAACCAGATTAGAAATTTTTTTCTCTCGTAGAAAAATATTTCCCAAGCTGATTATTCTCATAAAAGAAATTGTTTTCTGAAGATATTTTTTTATAATGGAATTTTGACTATAAATATCTTTCGAAAAAATCTTAAAAAGTAAGTTGTTAGCAATATTCTTGAAATTTAGATATTTTTGTTGAATATTTATAATTATTAATTGAACAAAACTCTATATTTTAATACATTATTTCTTTCATAAATCGAGAAATGAATCTCTCGTCTTGAATGAGATTTATAAATTCTTTTTAATAAATATGTTCACCGGAAATTACAAATCTCTGTAAGCTAGTAGATTACCGTTAACAGTTGATTGTCCCGATTATCGCAGAATTGCTAACGTAATACTTTCTCGCATGAAATCAAGTACAAGCATGCGAAGTATGACTCCCAGGCATTTCCTCCTTATATGTGTTAATGACCGGCTCTTTCCTTGAATCATTATAACCTCTTGTAAGAACATTCTATATATCTCGTATTAAAATCAAAGATAATTTATTGTATATATTAATATAACAAATACACATCAAGATATACCTATGTAAAAGAAAGAGAAAAATAACACTTTTTTTTTAAGTCTTCTATAATTGAATTCTTGAATTTTATTTTTCCAATATTTCTCCCTTTTAATTTCTCGTTCCTTTAGAGTGAAAAAATCATTCTACATATTTAAAAAATTACATTTTACAATGCACATCGAATTGAAGAGCAACTTTGTTTTTGCCTAAACATATCAAAATATAAAAGAGAAAAACAATCTTTTTTATTTGAATCTTTGATTGTAATAGAAATATTCGATTTTAATTCTTTCAATATTTTTCTTTCGAATCATTCTTTTAGAATAAAAAAATCAATCTGCATATTTAAAAAATTACATTTACAATGCACATCGAACTGAAGAGTAATTTTGCTTTTGCCTAAATGAGTCGCCGTAATTTACAATTCACCGGTGAATTAATCGGACTCGCGTACAGCCGAGTATCGGTGCTCTCGTTCTTTCACGACGAACGCGTCGGCTGCTGCCGTCGATCCTCTCTCCCTCGTCGAATTAAAACTTTCCACTCGTAGACACAACAAGCGACCGCGATTCAAGCTTCGCGTTTCGATCCAGCATCCATTCGTTGGATGCATGGAGGAGCGCGATGCACGCATACCGGCCGCATTAATAATACAGTTATGCAACGAGCCTCGCGTACGACGATTATTATTAGGGACCTCGGATAGGCAGCAAGAATCGGATTCCGTTTAGACATAATATTAATAATAAGCTCATTGTGAAAGTGAATGCGTCTCGTGCTTTTTGCAACCATTACGAAAGCCAGAAAATTAAATACTAATTATTAAACTATGTTAATTATTTATAATCAGCGTATTGAAAGTGATAATCCACACGTATTAAAAATTTATACAAACTTTTTACTCTCGCCGGATAGAATTTTAAACAAATATTGTTTTGAAGAATTTCAAACAAATTTGAAAATTTTTGGCGAAAAGTACATTTTTCTTTTTCTTTTTCATAATTAAATTAAATTGTATACTTTATATACTAATTACAGTACTTCTATTATTCTATAAAATTATGCAGAAAGTTAAGATTGCCTAAGTCAACTATTACTAAATATACAACATACTCGCCACTTTGCAGACAGCTATGTGAATTGCAAAATCATGTAGATGCGCAGTGGCGATGCGAAATATCATCCTCAAAACTTAAGCACAAAAATTAAAATTTTATTTTTATATGCGCTATAAAATATTTCACTTTACGTTACGTTAGAAACTTAGTTCGATCAGTTTTGTTTAATCTATCTTTTATCGTTTTATAAAATTAGAACCAACAAAAAAGAAAGCTTTAATTTAGTTAGCGTTAAAGTATAATATATATCTTCTTGTAAAAGCAAGCATTCTGATGTCTTGCTTATTGATCTTTTAAGTAAATTTGTACTACCGGATATTGGTATATTTTGCTTATTAATCTTTGAAGTAAGTTTGTATCAAGATTTCACAAGTCTGCATTAAAAGCTTTTGCGTTTCTATTTCATATTTTATATATAGCGCTCTTTAACTTTGACTTATTACGAAAGTTCCATGAGGCAGATGTAAAATGAAACATAGTTATATAGGGACTTTGCGGATCAAACGTGTTCTGATGACACATTCTGCAAAAGTTACGTGTGAGCTGTAATCACGTTAGGATGCACGATATTATCTTTGAAGAACGACGTTCGTTTGAAACTCAAATAAACCCGCATGAAGATACATACACGACAGATAAAAATAAAATAAAACAGCCAGTTAATTAAAATCGCAATTTGTAGATCTGATCGTTTGCTAGAAGCTGCGAGCGTACAAAAAGAAAGATATGCAATTTCTCGGAACGAATCATTGGTATCTCTTTAACAATATCACTTCTCGATTACAGGTGAAGAAGTGGTGACTGTACCGTCCACCAGCAACGATCAGGAGGGCTGGAAAGTGCAGAGGATATCCGTAAACGGTGAATTGCCGCAATCGAGCAATCGTCGCCGCGGCTACAGTCGATCGCAATTGCAACCGGTCGTTTCCGGCGGCAAGAGGAATCGGCCAGCACCATCCCCACCGACGCAGCCTATATCCTACAGAATCAATGCTAAGGAACAGCTCGACAAATATTTCGACTGGCGGAATAAGGAAAACACACCCGGAAATGCCGTAAACCGCCGCGAAGACGATCAACGACAGGCGAACCAAGTGCAAGAGACCGAGGAGTCGACAATGGGCTCGAATCTGAGCAGGCATAACGGAAAGGGCCTCACTGGCCGACGCACTCAGTCTTCCGGAAATTTGTGCGAGCCTAAAGGAAAGCTGAACAGCATGGGAAAAATATTGGTGCCCTGTTCCAGCGCCCAAAGAGAAAGGTTAGTCATTAAAAATTGTTACTTTTATATACATTATACATGTATGTGTATATATGCGCGTACGCACACACACACATATTCTATTTTATTAAAACTAATTTTATCTGATTTATATTTCCTTTGATCTATATTCACATATATATAAAGTAAATTTTTAATTAGATGGAGAAATTGATATTCATACGTGTATTTATATTTATGATATTTTGACTATTTGTTTATTTTCGCCAAATAATTTTTACGATATTTATATGGCATTTGATATTAACATTTAATTATACAACTTTTATCTACGAAAGAAAAAGATAAATATATTTTTTTTATTACGGTAAATTTCTTTAAAGGAGATATTGAACTGTAGATTTTAAAGTTATGTATGCATACCAAATTCAAAAGTACATTGAAGATATATATAAAGTTAGTATAACACAATATGGTATAATTGATTACAAAAGTATGGGATTAAAATATTACAGACAAAAAAGGAGATGTTTCAATCGCGGCTTCTCTCATGCCAAAAGATTAAATGATCTTTGTAACGTAGTCTTACAGATATTGTTAATTTTTTAACAACACGAAAAGCGAGCGAAACGCTGCAGGCGAGAGTATCATGTTGCAATTCGGAGAGAAAGGTCAATTCGCGATCGATTCCTCGTTTAGTATATAATCCTTGGAAAAAGCACCGTTAGCATCACGCCGATAATCTGCTTGACATAAATTTATTGTGGATTATAAACATCTTTATGCAAATCAAAAATTTATAGAAATGTATACACTATTATATAATTCCACTTTCACTATGCTACTTGTACTATTGTTAATATGATTATTATGATTACATGTGCATCTTATCTAATACATGTGCATCCTATCTAAATATATTACATTAATCTTTTTAATTAAACAATAATAAATATAAATTTTTTAATAATGTGTAATAAAAAAGATATTCTATAAAATAATTTAAAAAATCATATTAATATATTTAGTGCAAGAATTTTTGCAAAAATAATATTAATCTTTAATAAAAAATCTTTCTGTCATTATTAGCAATAGCATTTGCACAATCAATTACATTATTAAAGAGAGGTAACAAAATGCAGAAATAAATTTTCTTTTTATTTCACGGAGTATTAGATTAATTTATGTGCACATTCTTATAATGCTCGTCAAATGTATAAAGTGGAGAATTCATTTTCAGCCGCTATCGGTGTGAACTGATTTTTACCCACGATCGTCGCGTGATGATAAAAGTCTCTTCATCTTAAACCTTTTTTTGCTCGTAGTCTCTTTATATCTGTCGAAAAAGGTCGACTTTACACGCACATCTTTCTTTGAAGAAGTTATTCAATAATAAATGTGCTCTTTTCTTTCTTCCCCTTCAATCACGCACACACGTACAACTTACTTTATTTTTTAATAAAAAAATTTATTATTTTCAAATTTTTTCATAATTTCTTATTGAAAGAATAAATTGTAAATGAATCTCTTTTAGATTTCTCCTTCTAGATCTTTTAGATTAAATGAAACATTTTTAAGAAATAACTCGAAAAATATCCTTGAACATTGCAAAAGACGCGATAATAGGATACTGTTCCACGAATTAGCTTTGTTAGCGATTATAAATATCATTGTACGTAGTTTAATCGATTATATAACAGTACTATATACATAAATTCACGAGATAGTTTTTTTTATACCCACAAGAGAGTCGTTAAGAGACCGCTCGCGATCTAATTACGGTCACTAACTTGAACAAAGTAAAGCGCATAAAAAATTTATATTAAAAAAAATTGGAATAGCGGAAAGTTTTCGTGCAAGATCGATTAAAATTGATTGCGAATCGATCGATGAATTTCTGTCTTCCTGATTATTCCGTCGAGGATTAAGAAACGATATTACCGTGTGAACTGCGAGTAGGTATACTTAATCGCGAATGGAATATGAAATTACTTGCAAAGTGATAAAGCTCTCTGGAAGCACGTGCTAATTAAATCTAGGGAGAAGACGAGACATCGGTATGACAGCTTTCGAGAGGTGGGATAAGCGCGAAATCCGGCTCCGGAATCCTTCATATATCGACACGAAATCGAATATGTTATGTACTGATGGGCTAACTCGCATAAGACGATTAACCAGTAACAAGATTGTCGCGAAAATATAATGCTATGCCGATAATATCTCTTTATTCCTGTTTACCTAACCAGCTAACTGGAGGTAAGCCACATAGCCAACAATGACCGAGATCGTTAATTCAAAAGTGAATTATGTCCGGCGCTGTGATAACGGTGATAAATGACGGTGATAAATCGACAGAAAATGAGTTGATCCGCGTGCACGTCGTTCTGTTATTAAATTTAATAATTATTTGCATCTCGTAATTATGTCCATCATAAATAACCGGCTGGGTGAGGAGAAACCAAGACCAAACGATCATCTTATTATAACCGCTTGGTCGCGCAATATACCATTTAAAAACTATTAGTGAATCCGTCAAGGACAGATGCTTCGTTGATTTAATTTTAATGAGTTCTCCCAAATTTCCGACTATTTTCCGTTCAGTCTCGTGATATTTAATTTAATAGCTTCACTTATCTGCATCTTAATTAATCTTTTACACTACGTTCGGCTTAACGCTTAAAATAGTATACGAAATTACTATGTTATACATAAAATTTATTATACATATAATTTATATTTCGTATATATTATAAAATAAATAATATTATATTATATGCTGAGATGGATAAGCGTATATTTAATTATGAATAATTAAAATCTGTTAATTATTTTTATCCAAACATTATTGTGTTAAAACTTAATTTCGTTTCTGACAACGATTGAATTAAATATGGGGGATGGTATTTTTAAAGTAATAATAACACGTTTAAATTAAAATAAAAGTGTCTGGCAACTTTACTGATGCGAAAGCAGTTCTGCATCTTGCAGCGACGTACAAAACAAGAAGTTCTCTCGCGTTAGCATCTTCTGGGCGCATAGTTCTCTTTCGCAGCAACTGCAAGAGCAACCTTATACAATGGGGCAACAACGCTTCCGGTAGTAACAAGTTGCTGGCCGCGAGATAATTTAAAGTAGCTCTAAGGTCGGCCAGTCGTTGAACTAGGGCGGGTTCCATTAAACCGTCGTTTACACGGGAAGCCGGAAGGGATAAGGACATACATGAGTTAAAAGAGCAACGGAGATATATATTAAAAGGTGTCCCGCGCGCTTCTTGATCTCATTTGCGTAAGTGCTGTTGTCTAAACCTGGCAATGACAGCGCCAAAAATGTGTAGAAATGAAATCATTGTCCCGTTTGCTGTTCATTTACTTATAAACCTAGGAATATTAGAACGCTTTTACATTATTAGTAACAAGTTAGCTATTTATTCCTTTATAAAAAAAACTTATACTTTTTTACTACCATGTTGTAATCAAAATCGATTTCAATCAATTACAATTTAAAATTATTATAAAATCTTTTATATTATTTATTCGTTCTTAAAATAATGATATTAATAAATAAGCTGGAAATTTTAATTCATTATCATTCATTAAAAATTGTAACAAAAAAAATAAGAAAAGATCACAGTGTCGTGAATTTACATATAATTCATATTATTTACATATGTGAGGTTTTTTTTCTGATCACGTTGTTTAATATTATACGTTACATTAATATCGCATATTATATGCGTCTATAGTTGTCAAAAACTATTGTGAGATTATCATATGATTACATGATCAGGAACCGGATAAAATTTTTAGACTTTATACCGAGAGGTATCCACGACGCAAGGGTCAAAGTAAGTAGAGAGATCGGTGAAAGGTCAGATGCTCTGCGCGCTTGTGCGCTTATGCATGCCACGAAGATTTGCGCAGGCAGGCAAGCAGGCAGGCATTCGCCTATCCACTGGCGTGAAAGCGGACTCGGCGGATGATGTCACGTACGAATTATTAGTGAAGTTTCTTATACCGTTTCTGGTACGTGCGTTGTCACATAGGATGTTTTATGAGACACACGCAAGCACGATTGTCGAATAAATACAAAAAGTTTCCACGTGCCATGACATTACGACGATTATGTCATGCTTTTCAACTCATTTTTCACGAATCTTAAAATGACGTAACAATAGAGACGTAACAACGAAGAATAATTAAGAAAAAAAAATATTTTATTAATTTTTATTTTTGTACAAAAACTGAAAGAAAACAAAACTTATATCCGAAATTGTAATATATTGATTTTTTGATATAATTTTTTCATTTTATAATATTAATTTGTTATTGAGATAATATTTGATGTAATATTTTAATATTGAGGAAAACAAACAGCTTTGGATTCATGTATATAAGTTAAACAAGCCAAAATTTAAGATCTCATATTATGAGAAGTTTCGCGTTTTCTAAAAAATATATATATTTATTTTTTATTATATACAGAATATATATAAGAAAATAATTTTTTAAATTTAAATTTTGTGTCTTTAAAAAATTATTATTTGTCATTTGAAAAATTTGCTTTTATTATACATATATCATATTAAGATAGAAATAATTTAAAATCTATCATTGTTTCTTTTATGAATGAAGCTAAAGAATTATGTCTACAGTACTTATAGTGAAAATATGAATCTATTTTTGCAATTCATGCGTATAGGAAATAGCGCGAATGTCTTGCGAACATCATCCGCGTGGCATTATTTCAATTCCAACACGCTCGATTTCACCTTGTTCGAATGCCACGTCAATCACATAGCACGCAAACGTGCCGTCGCGACGGAATTTTCCCCTTTGCATCAAAAACATCTCATATATCGTTTACACAGTTTTTCTACTTTATTTGTGCGTTCATCTTTGTTCGCGTCGACGTTACGAACGTTACTATTCGCACCGATTAAACAGACATAATCCGTCGCATTTACACGCGCGTAGCATTTTATGCAGTTGGTTGCATACGCGAGAATTAACAAAATTACACGAAATGATCATTCGCATCCCGAATCTGCCCAGGATGTGACACGAAGTAATGTCAAATAATGTAAAAAGCGCGGATTATGTAAATTACCGTAATGTATTTTTTCTACAAAGTTTGACGCTTTCTGACGGTAGCTTATTACTCGAAATGTCGTCGCCTACGTTGCAAACTTGTTTTCTCCTCGACGCTTTCATCTTTCCAACTTCGTTTATAATTTTAACGGAGAGATAAACAGGCTCGAGTTACGCAAACAAAAAGTGTAATCGCGTCAAATAATATTTCCGAAAAAGTTCTTTCCACAGAATGAATCTTGTACAATTTAATCTTTGAATCTATGCCAATACATACATATAAATAAATCATTGTCAACAATTCTTTCGCAACTTATTTTTGACCTATAAATAAATTATTTTAAATTTAATTACCTATTTTCTCTTACAGATATAAATTCTGCGGCTCGCTGCCAAATCATCTGGACGACAAGGATGTATTAGATGATGATCAGCGAGATAACAATAATATCATGTCCGATACTATCGGTGGAAACTTTGGCGGTACGTTGCCGCACAAGAAACGCTCGTTAGGAGTACATTTCTCGGATAGCGAACCGACCGGTACTTTGGATCTCGTTAAACATCGATCGCAGGACTCTTTCGATGAGAACGATCCCTGGAGGTACGTAATAATAAGAGTACCATAAAAACCGATCGTCTCATATTACAACGGTATAAAGAAGATGAAATGCAGTATGGTTTAGACATCAAACATGTAGCTTCTTCTTGTTAAAATTAATTATGCTTAATAAATTCTGAAAGTTATCGTCCTTCACTTACACGCGATTTCGAGATTTCATCGTGAAACTGTCAAGGAGAGACGCGGACAGAGCAATTTGGAGAATTCCGAGAACGTCCCATCAAATTTCAATCTATGCGAATCGATCGATCGATCGCGCATTCTCTAGCGTCAAGCGAGAATCGTTGAAAAGTTTTCACTTCGAACTTGTCGTATCTTTCGCTCACGTGGCGCGCACTCTCTTCTCGCGTTTTAAAGTTCAGAAAAATGATTCTCAAGTCGATTCTCGCCTCAAAATAGATTTGGTTTTCGGCGAATACGAACTCGTAAATCTTTTCCCGATGAAAAATCAATCGCGAGTGATCTACGGTTGGTTCCAGATATCAGCAAAGCGATCTCGATCTGGTGCGGTGCCGTCACGGAAACTTTGATTCGGTCAAGAGAAATCGCAGCGTCGACACGGTGCTCGTCGAATCTGGCAGGAAGTACGGTCGTGGCGTAACCTTGGAGGATAGATGTCATCGTAATAATTCAGACCTCGACTTGGTCGGCACGCTGCCGAAACGTAAGCAAGACGCTCGAAACAGCAGCGGTAGAAGCCTCGAATCGAATTCGTCGTCCTCGCAGCCGTGTATAGTAAACGCCACCGATGACGACTTGCTGATGAAGATAGTGCACAAACCTGACTGCGAGTTACTCAAGCATCGCCAACAGCTTGGCAAGTGCGTCGATCTGAAGCTGAGCAAACTGACAAGTGGCGAGCCACAGGATCAGGGATACGCGTCCGAACGATCACCCGAGGACGAGCATCCACCATCGTTACCGGGACAACCATTTCCAAGTGTGACACCTGGTAAGTAATAACATGTATTGCTTTATTCGTCACTTTTCTTATATATATCTATGTATGCAGACTACAAAAATGTGAGCCTCACTAGAGAATTTCTCATTAAATTTCTTTTATGTTACTATATAAATACTATATAATATATAAATTATAAATGAAATATAGCGTACTATATAAATTAAAGCGTGGGTATTCGTCTCGTAAAAAATTAGCGTTATTGAGTATGTATTTGATGAATAATTAATATTTATTCGCTTTTAATTAATTTATTGTTAGCTATCGATATTTACTGTAATGTGAATATTTTATATAAGAAATCGAGGAAAGGATTAACACATGCGAGAATGTGAACGCGCTTATACAAGGTTGACGTATTAGGATTTTGTAAGACATATCAGCATATGAATTATGCACACGTATATGCATACGTACGTGCATAAAATTTTTCTGTTTCTCTAATAATGCTTTTGTAAATATTATTTTGCTGACGATAGATATATCTGTATTCCTACGTTTGTGAGAGCTATTGCAAAAACTTTCCGAAGGTCGAAACTCCTTTTTTCCTCCAAGACGAATACATGGCTGACTGGCCTTGATATGCGCTATAACGAGCGGCTGATAAAGATGAATGGCTCGGCGATGATGGGTGAATGCAAATTGTGCTCGCCATGCAAATGATCGACTAATGGGCAAAGAATTTTTATATCTCTTAATTTTCTTATTCAGGTTTCCCATTAATTTATTCCTATACATTTATACCTCGATCATGATTAACAGATAACATGAATATATTATAACGTTGGAAATCTCTTAGTTTATATGATTATTTATTCCCGAATTTGCATAAAAAGAAAGCTTGTATACATAAATGTGTCTTAATCTTTTCATCTCGCATTAAGAAATATTAAATTTTTTTCAAAATTTTGCATAACAAATTGTACGATGTAGAAAAAGTGTTATTGATTACAAGGTGTGACAGTATTTTTGATATGTTTTTACAATACTTAATGACACGATAGAGAAAAAAATGTTTCGTAATTTAAAACGATCTAACAAACCAGTTTGTTTTGAAATACCTCGTAATACATGACTAGATCAATCAATCGCTCTCCTCATAAATTTCATTTATCGTGCGGACTTTTAGGAAAGTAATAATTTTTATTAACGTTTGTAACAGAACTGCGGTTGACTGTAATCTTTCATATTTTGACTGGCAAAGAGATAAAAAATTGTGTCATTTTAACTCGGTCATAATTTAGGTGAAATTTTTGCAGGCCATTAATTAAAATTCTTGTAAAATTGCACCGGACTCTCAAAGAAATTTCTGCCAAATTCAAATAAATCTACATAATTTTACGTATAACATATGTTGAAAATGGCATCTGGATAGATCGTCCGTGTTTGAAAAATCGCTTTCTGTGAACATAGAAAACTTTAAAATGAATAATGCTTCATTTACTTTCGGCGTTGGTCGATTTCCAGACGATTTGATCGATAGCCAGTTGCGCGAGTGCGTCGCAGACTTTACACAAATGTGTCTATATCGTGGTGCACGTGAAATCTACATATTTTCAATTTCAATCTCATGCATTTGGAAGGAGCTATTCACTGTAGAAACGACGCTGTTGACGAATCCATGGAATTATTTCCGCGTGTTACTTCCCTCCTCTTCGTTGTCACACTAATTCAAGAAAAAAATTCGAGTTGCTGTGTTAAAATATAATTTCTTATTAATACAAATAACTTAATAACACTTTTTAACTTGTAATTAATTTTTTTAATAATTTTCAGAAAGTGATTTTACTTTGTATTTGCTTTAACACATCAATAATATGAGCAATATTATATTTTCTATATCAAATATCAATTGACATGTTTTTGTTCAGAAAGTGAACACGTAAATATAATATGACATTTTACATTTGTCACTCGTACAGTTTTTTCAGTTAGCTTATTTACACGTCAATATTGTACATTGCCAAAGAGACGATAAAAACTATTTTTATTTCATGACTAAAAATTCGGAGAGTTCTCTCTCTCTCTTTTTTTCTCTACAGAGATTAAATCGAGACACTAGAAAATATCGTACAAATTTGTGCAAGCGACGAAAAATCCCAGCTTTTAACGAAAAAATTCAATTTTATCCCGTTAAATGTGCCTGGATGATACGCTAACACGCGTCTTTAGTACATTAATAGCACGGTTTAACAACACATCGTTGTTCATTGCGCTTGACGGGCAAGTTTTGCAGCATAGTTGTTATTACTCTTCCACCACTACCCTTACTCCCACGCACCACTCTTGCGTGTGTATTCTGCCTGAACAGCGGTTCTCTCAGGGATCGAAGCGAAGAATATGAAGTAGTACTTTAGCTCGTAAAAAAGCACTTTCCACTCGGCGCATTTCATAATCGTAAGCCGCGAATACCTCGTTCACAGTCTTGCAAGCTTACCAGTAGATATATAGTTACGACGATATCGCGCGAAAGATTTTCCATCTCATTTTGCGATCAATTTTTCTGAATTGCATAAAAAAGCAAGGTCATCCCTCGGTCATCCCGCGATGCGGTTCTTTCGTCGTGAATAATTTCGCAATCACAAATGAATGATTAACATTTACGTGACTGCTGGCGAAGACTTAATGGGCCATTTACTATGACTTTACAAACCCGAGAATCCGAGATCAACCGAGGAATCGCGGGTCGCAAGTTGATGAAGAGATTTTTCCGGAATCGTCGAGCGTTTTCGCACGTTCCGGATATATACGGTAGTGGCAAATGGCGGTGATACAACCTAGATTGAGAGACCCTGACCTAGAATATACGTGATCCTTTGTGAACAACTACAGCCGCGTTTGCTTTGTGCGGACTGGTATTTGCGGCGGTATCCAGCCTAGCTTCGAAATTACGAGGTAATGCTGTAATATATCGTTCGTGTATAGCATGTCGCGAGAATATTAAAAATCGATACGCGATAATTAAAAGCACGCCATTTTAAACCGCAAAGTTTTCGAACCGCTCTATTAATTCCTGGTCTATTAAATAGTCAAAATAGATATTGATGAAATGTTTCATAATGAAATGTTTTATTTTTATTTTATACGGACAAAATATATACCATACTATATACATTAAGAAGAAGCAGTGTTTTATAAGACAATTTAATCTTTCATTAATCTTTCCATTAATCTTTCATTTCATACATTTCAAAGATATTTAACCATATAACGCAAATTTCACCGAAATAATTTTACTTGGATGAATAGAATAAACTTGTAAAAGTAACAAATAATCATCTATCATTACAATCCTCGGTATAAAGGACCATTCGATCCATTTACTCTTCGCCAAGTTAACATTATCATGACGAGTAAAGCGAGCTTGCCGAATCAATAAACAGTCACATCAAGCATTACGAACCTTGTTATGCAGTTTCCATGTTTCGTGGTGTAGATTGTTTATCCTCATTATTGTGTCGCTACAGAACTGTGCACTCGAGCGGGAAATATTCCGTTCACGTAGTGGTCGGAGACTTGAATCAGGATTCTCGTCCTGATATGAATATGGGTGCCTGTGACAGAGCGTTAGTTAAACTCAAGACGGATGGCAGCGATTTGAATCTTCACAAGCTATCCGCACATCTGGTATCTCTCCATAGATATCCAAATCAATTCTAATCCGTGTAACATTATCATTATTATTAACTCTATTATTTTCTTAATATTAGATTCTCATTATGTTTTTTTAGCAAGGCTTTAATCATTGTCATAATTTTTTTTTCAATATGATTTTAGAACTTAATCAAAATTCTTATTTTACTTTTATTTCTCTTGTACATATTTCGACTGTAAACATATCGCTGTAGTTTATCAAAAGGAATCGGCGAAGCGTTTCACTTCCCTTTGTGTATTATTGAAGTTAATGAGAAAGCTTCGGTTTCATTGTAACAAATATAATCGAAATGAATGAAGGCTGTCATAAAGATAAAGCCATTGTTGGCAAGATTGGCGGTAAATCTCGACGTGGATAGACGATGAATGTTATGAACCATCTGCATATCTAATTCCTCAATTACTAGATTCTATTCCGAGATCCGCTCATAATATGAAAGCTATTCAATATCTTACAAAAGAATTGATTCTAGATTAATCCAAGGATCTGCCAATAAAATTAAGATCGGAACATCCCTTATATGGCAGGAGTCGCATAATCAGAAATTGCGATTTCCATCGCGGAATTTGTCGAAATCTCCGACGTCGTTGAGTAAATGGCTTTCGAGCCTGCTTCAGATTCGTGAAGAAAAAGAAGAGATTCATCTTTCTCGGCTGTCGCCGCGAATGAATGCCGAACCCATTCAATCCGCAGACGATCTCGCTCGCCCACTTTGGTACCGCCTTCTTTCGCTGACATTGTAAGTTTTCTAAGTCAAGAATGCGCTATTGATCGTGCGGCCGTTGCACGACCGCTCTCGCCTTACAACGAACTAGGTCACTTCGACGTACGTTCCATGCGTCTCACCTATTGACCTATTTGTCCGGGCGGGACGTCATCGTCGAAGGACAGGGGAGGTGGTGTGGTGAGGCAGCTATGTTGTTTGGCAGTTTCGGCGTGTGTCCTCGCGCGTGGAGAACGCTAGGTTGGCGCCGCCGGTATCGCGGGTTAATTCCGATTCTCCGGATACAATGCGACCGATGGCCAACTGACCGCAATGCGCAGACCGAAGGATATCTCTCTTACTTTGAAACGACGTGTATGTCCGGTGTGATTATTCGTTAAGAGAGAGAAAAAGTATCCTCGAAAACTATCTCAGAAAATATATATTCGTTCTAAAATTATTTCCAAACGATGAAAATACAATTGTATTTTGTATAATTATATTTTTAAGTTATATAAAAAACAGTACAAAATTATTCCCCTTATGTATATATTATATATACATAAAATATAACTAAGTTATTTTATATATGTTATATAAAACATAATTAGAGAGATTAATCATTCATGATTA